CCACGTCTTTGTGACCAAGGAAAATCAGAGAGGCAGCTTGACATTTTGGAAAGCGGCCTGTAATTCCGAAAGCAGGGATCCGTGAAATTATATTTTGGGTTTAAGTTTCTGACTGGTGAGATGCCAGGTTTTGGAAAGAACTCTATCAAATGTTATTCCATCCTCTCTCCTGTAATCTTTTGGTTGAAGAGAAATGAGTACATATTAATGTGGAGTTGAGAGAAACTCTGTAGGTACTGCATATGGCTCAGTTACATTTTTTACATTTTTACATTTTTGTCATTTAGCAGACGCTCTTATCCAGAGCGACTTACAGTTAGTGAATACACATTTTTTTTTTTTTTTTTTTTTTTTTTTTTTTTACAGTATTTACACATGCACATGCACACACGTCAAAGAGCACGCACGCTAGTTCAAATCCCCGAGCTGACAAGGTGAAAAATCTGTCGATGTGCCCTTGAGAAAGGCACTTAACCCTAATTGCTCCAGAGAATGGCAGACCTTGGTCATGACCCCACTCTCCGAGGGTGTCTCAGGGAGAATTGGGATATGCACAGTAGCGGTGCGTGGGTAAAATCACTGGGGAAGCCAAGCAAGAAAAAAATTCCATATTACAACCTATGTGTTGTGATAATTGCAGTGTTTGCTCTATAACCTGTTAGTTCATATGCCTTGACACTGTGATATATAGGCCTAAGGCCAAGACAGTAAGAAGACACAGTTGCAGAATAAATTCAACCAGAGAGCTACATCTGTCTGGTGAAGCCCACTAAGCATATTGCATGTAACAAACAGTTACATGACCTACAGCAAGTTCATGTTTCCGACATTTTAGGACCACTAAACAACTATTGATTTAGAACCACAGAGAGTTGCAGCAAGTTGCAAAGAAAACAGGAGCTGCCTCCAGTATTCCAGCACCATTTCAACTTCAACATTTCAACATAATCTAATTACCTCTGCTTAGTCTAATACAGTGACAACTAAAAGATACCAAAAACTATTTAGTCCAATGAACGTATGATGTGGCTGTCCATGGTGTGTGTGTGTGTGTGTGTGTGTGTGTGTGTGTGTGTGTGCGTGCGTGCATGCAAGTAGATAAAACATGACTCTATCATACAGTACACACTTTTAGTTTTTGTTGTCCTAGGCTACCTGGCTAAAATGCTAGCTTGCTAGCCTAATTAACTTTCATGGACAACGAAGTGCCAGGCCAGCTAATTAACATTAGCATACTACATCTAGCTACGTGTTGAACTTCCATCCTCTCAGACCAGGGGCACAATGTATGAATTTATGGTTGGATCAGAATCGCCGTTATAATCATTGGCCAGTACAGAGGATTAAGTAAAACTGGATCCCCTTGACACTCTCTTTTGGTGCGCAAAGACCATTCACAGCTGAGCTCACTCTGTTTAGCTCAACGCTGATTGGCTATGATTTTATTTCTTTTTTATCTAGGGAGGCCAAATGCTTGCTTGCTTCCCTTCCATGCAATGCTACTGACTGCAACAATGTCATACTCTTTCTGACCAGATGCTTTCTCCGGTGAGATACATTCAGCCTCTTGCGAATTGAAGGAAAGAGAGACGAAAGAGACGTAATATACATTATTTGGTATATTTTTTTCTTGGTCTAATTTTTTGGGGAAGCCTGCCTTTCCTTGGCCTCCATGAATACACGCCACTGGATATGCATAAAACACATTTCCAATTTACACATGCGTATTAATACAAACTTATACATGTGTGAAATAGGACAAATGTAAGCACTCACCAAATTATTATTATTACATTTTAGTAATTTAGCAGACACTCTTATCCAGAGCGACTTACAGTTAGTGAGTGCATACATTCTTTCATACTGGCCCCCCGTGGGAAATGAACCCACAACCCTGGCGTTGCAAGCGCCATGCTCTACCAACTGAGCTACAGGAGACCATTATTATTATTATTATGCACACACACCTACACACACATACTTTCTGTAATATGCACTAATATTAATAAACAGCACCCTGATAAATAGTAATTGATAATACAATTGTAAGCTCTGCTAGGCCTTTGGAATAGGAGAAAAATGTAGACATACATACACAAATGTGCATGAAAATGCACTTTATTGGTGAGGAGGGAAACACAAATGATTGTCAGCAATTTACTCAAGTCACTGTGAGTGACTGGAACCATCATTACTGTAAGGTATGCATGGGGGGGGGGGGGGTTGAGGGGGGAGAGAGAGGGGGGGAGAGAGACGGGGAGAGAGATGGGGAGGGAAAGGGCGGAGAGGGAGAGAGAGGGGGAGAGAGAGGGGGGAGAGAGAGGGGTGAGAGAGGGGGGGAGAGAGAGAGCGCGAGAGGAAGCGAGAGAGGGGGGGGGGGGGGGGGGGGGGGGGAGAAGTGTGTGTGTGCTCTCTTTCCCTGACAGAGAGAAAGAGTGACACATTATCAGGTCACAGAAGACCAGCAAAGTGCTGTTCTATGACTCTCTTCCTCCTTCTTTCTCTCCCTCCACCTCCACAGTGTCATCCCATTACAGGAGGAAGAGAAGCGGAGATGTTTTGGCTTCCAGGGGTGGGAAAAGGGAGTGTTGCGAATTGAGAATATTCTTGACAATCCCGATGCTCCTTGGTTCTGGCTGGATTCTTGTTATTGTAGAGGCAGACTGTGTAACAGAGGGGTGATGTTATCAGTGATTGGAACAAGGAGTGTAACAGCAGTCAAATGTTATGAATATATGTATGAATACAGAGTATTTCTTTGTATTCATTCTTTGCTCCTCTATGGGAATGGTGACATTGGTAATTTGTCCAACATGACAGCAGGTTCACGGCAGATGTGAATAATTTAAATCCTCCTCGACGTCCCGTTCTCAGCCCTACACCCTTCTGAGCATGTTCTCACATTAACATTACAGCTGACCTTGATTGATGGAGAGAGAGAGGGAGGGGGGAGAGAGAGAGACGGGGATGGAGAGAGATGCTGTAACTGATGGTCTAAGCAGCCTAATTGGTGGATAACTAAAGATCTAAGCAGCCTAATTGATGGTGATTGTACTGTAAGGTTTACATGAGAGAGAGAGAGAGAGAGAGGGGGAGAGGGAGAGGAGAGAGGGTGGAGTGAT